GCTATTAAAAAAAAAAAAAAAAATCAGGGCTTCTGGTTCTCCCACTTCACCGTCGGGGCGAGTTCGGACCTCGAAATCCTCATCGACACCGGCTCGTCGGACGCCATTCTCAACCCGGGCATCTACAAGCCCTCGCCGGGGTCCGTCAACGCCAACCGCCGCTTCAGAATCTCCTACGCCACCACCAACCCGGACGGATCGGGCACTCTGACCGTAAGTGAAAACCGCTCGCAACCGCTAACATCACGGGGCGCTAAGACACAAACGCCAGGCATCCGGCAACGTCTACCAAGACGTCATCACCCAGCTCGCGGCCAACCTCAGCGTGGCCAAGCAAACCCTGGGCGACATCCAAGACCCAACTTCGCCGCCGACGTTCCCGCGCGACGGCCTCATCGGCTACGCCAGCCAGCAGGGCAGCGCGCTCCGCGGCTCCCCCTTCATCAACAGCCTCTGCGACCAGGGCGCGCTGTCGGCGTGCCGGTTCGGGCTCGCGCTGAGGCCCGACAAGACCGGGGCCTTGTACTACGGCACGGTGGCGGCCGACGCCTTCACGGGGCCGCTGACCACGGTCCCATTGACGCAGGGCGAGTGGGCGGTGCAGGGCGACGTGACGGTCGACGGGCGGCCGGTGCAGCGCGGCGCCAGCATCATCACCGACTCCGGAACGACCGTCGTCTTCGGCCCCACGCGCCACGTCGCCGCCGTCTTCGCCCAGGCCGGCGTCCAGGCCGTGCCCACGAGCAGCGGCATCGCGGGCTACTACAACTGCAGCGCCGCGCCGGCCATGGGCTTCTCGTTTGGCGGCGCCAACTTTGACATTCTGCCCGAGGCGCTGGCGTTTGCCCGCAGCGGCGACAACTGCACCGCCGCGGTGCACGGGTCCGACGCCTTTGGGGACAATTGGCTTGTCGGCCAGGCGTTTTTCCAGGGGCGCTACATCGACCACAACGTCGACGACGGGACCATGGGGTTTGCCGACCTGAAGTGACGAATTCGTGAGGTGGCTCCGGGGTGGAGAGTACATGCTGATGGGGTGTGCGCGTACGTTACATGGTATGCCTAGTATATATTCCTTAGATTTGTTTGTACGTATCAAGCATGAAAAATTACTCACTCCTGTTGCCGGTAATCACACTGTGCGAGTTTTCGAAGCTGACGCGGCAGTTCACACGCCGTCACAGCATGCTGACAACTGACAACTCATCCATACACAATACTCTATTACAACCTCGCCGAGGTCCCTGGTCATGAATCATAGCTCGCACCTTCGTGCGAAGCATCCAAGAACGCACACCCAACGTGACACGCGTGCACCCTTCTAATGGCCACCTGCTCAGCCCCCACCCCCCAATGCAAACACAAAATGAGACATCTACCGTGCGCCGAAAAAAGGTGTATGCATCAACTTCTCCCCAGATCCGTTGTCTATACCTCCTCCGTCTGGACGGACTCGTATCCTCCACGCGTCCTCATGCCCGTGAGACTCATTAGTGTAGGGCTCTCGTACATGGCCGTATAGTCTACTTTGCCACCTCCGAGGACAGCCGTTCCGTTCTCTCTCTGGCCAAAGACTGGAGCCGGATCGCACCAAAAGTCCTTACAGTTGGAGACACAACCCCGGCTGTAGGGGTTCTTCTTCTTTCGCCTGCTGTGACCAGTGGCAGCGCCACGGCCGGTAATCGTCTCGATAAAGGGGTCGACACCGAGAATGCGGCTCCATTGCTTGAGCATGCCCCCCTTGTGTCTACTTCCGTGGCCGCTGGGCGACGTGGTGGATGTCGCGGCTGCTGCGAGCGATGGGTCCAGAGGCGTGCCGGTCGAGGTAAGCGCCGTAGTCGCCTCGCGAGTGTGGATCCCCGTCATGTTTTCAAACGTGGTCATGGCCCGGGACACTTGAACGAGCTGGGTGAACACCAGCATGGTCACCCATATGAGCTGCAAGCTGACCCAGACAGACAAGAGTAAAGTGTAGGCGTCCGAGTTGATGAGCCGGCAGAGGCCGGCGCCAAGGACATTGCAAGACGCGGAAGCGTCTGTAGAAATGACACCAAAATCTAGAGCAAGTTAGCAATATTTTACGCGACTCCAACTAAAAAAAATGAACTCACAATAATACACTGGCCAGTCATAGGCAAGAATGCCAAAGGTGAGATTAACAAGGTACAAGAAAAAGTGTCTATGGTTGTTGATGCCAACGCAATTGTACACCCAGGGACAGTGACTACATTCACCTTGTTAGTGGAAACTTCCATCAAAGCATCATTTGCCGTACGTACTGGTCATGCTTTGCTACACAACGCTGACAGCGCCTGCAATGTTTGCTTCGGAGCGGTGTACGGATCATGCAAGTAACACAAAAATTGGCCTCGTCATACTTCCAGCTAGCCAGAAGCTCGTCAATGACAGCCCTCTGCTCTGCGATGCCATTCAACTTTGGCACGAATCCAGGATCATATCGCATGCTCGCTGCGTAGAAGAATGTGGTCAAACCGAAAAGAACGCCAAATACAAGATTCAGAATCATGTGCGAGCTCTCGCCGCGAATCGTGCTCCACACTACAGTGCTGAGCCAGTTCACCCCGACGAGGAAGAGGGAGCCCGCAAAAATGCCAGCCATCCAGGGCTAGAGAGACATCAGTTAACAGACGGGGTAAGAACCCAGCACGGGTCCGAAACTCACCGTTTTGTGAAAGTGTCGCATGTCAGATGGAGCATATTCCAAAACCTGCGTCGCGCACCAATAAGCGCAATACACAACCCCGGCCGCCAACGGAAGACCCAAGAATACGGGCGCATATGAAAGAACAATGAGCACACCCCAAATCATGAGCCACGGCCAGAAGAAGAGAAACTTGGATGTGAAAGCCCTCTTATCCTTTAGAAAATAATTGGCACCAGGCCACGGAGGAATCACTGGATTGCCCTCGCGGTCGTAGCCGCATTCCCTCAAGGCTCGATGCCACGCAGGCTGTGTATTCAGCTCGGTAGCCGTCACCGAAGGCGTCTTGCCGCTCTCAGTCTTTGCAAACCGGTCGGCGCCATACTCGATAAGCTTCTGGATACATCCCGGATTGCCCTTGACCAAAGCCCAGTGGAGAGCTGTGAATCCCTGCTCGTCTGCCGCGTGGACGCTGGCGCCCCAGCGCAAGAAGACGTCTACGCACGAGGGGAAGCCCTTGTACGCTGCCCACATGAGCGAAGTGTGCCCAAAGGTATCGAGGACGTCGACGGGGATGCCCTGGTGCAAGAGCAGCACAATCAGCAGGGTATTACCGTTAAAGGTGGAGATGTGAAGAGTATTGTAGCCTTGAGCATCGGTGATGAGAGGGTCGGCGCCGTGCTGGAGGAGCAGATTGACGGTATAGTAATGGCATCGTTGGGCTGCCCACTGGAGAGGCGTAGCAACAGACTCGCCACCTTTGCGGTTGATTTCGGCGCCGTGTTCGATAAGGAACTTGCACATGGCATACTGGTTGTTTATAGCGGCCCACTGGAATTGTCAGCGTCAGGTTTTCATCTTCCAGATTTCGGGTTGGAATTTGACAACACATCGTTGGGACGGGACCCGGGGGTGGTTGGTTGCCGGCTGGTCTGCTTACATGTAGGGGCGTGATGCCCTCGTCGTCACTGTATGTGGCATCGAATTCTCCCGACTCAAATAGCTTCTCCATGGCAACAATGTCGCCTATTCGCGCCAGCTGCATGATATCCTTCTCGGGGCTGATGGCGACAGTAGCATCATCGTCGCCAGCCTGGCCTTCAGCGGCGAGGCTGCCCATCTCCATTTCGTTGTTGAGCTTCGGAGATGCAACCGAAGACTTGGTAGCAAACTGTATGGGGGGCGCAACGGCACCACTCGCGGATGCAGCGGATTTGCTTCTCAGTTTAGCAGGACTGTTCATGTAACGACAGAAGCAGCAGGCCGCCGCAGCGCCCAGAAGGCCTGGTTGAAAGGGGGAGCCAAACGATGGATTCGGTGTCGAGATGTATGCTGAAGCTCGGGGGATGCGCCTCAAAGCGTCGTGGCTGACAAAACCCGAGAGCAAGAATTCTCGAGGCTGGTTGTGCCGGGGGGGCAGCTGCTTGAGTGCTGTGGGATTAAGGTTGGAGCAGAAACAAAATCATCAGAACACAACGGCCGCACACAGGGTAAGCATTGCAAAAGGGATAGAAAATTTGAGCACTGGTGCAGGATTTCTTTGTATCTGGGCGGCGTGATCTGCATGAGATGGAAATTATCCCAGACGGGGACGAGGGAACCGGCGGACCCGCTGGCCACTCAGGAGCCAATGCTCAGGGCTGAACGAGGCTGAGCATGGCGGCCGCGCAGGGGTCAATGGACATTGCTCTCTCAGCGATTTGATCTGGACAAGTCACCATTTGGACTAGGCACAGTATGTGACAAGTTTCAGCAGGCGCATATCAATTTTTTTTTTATTTCCATTCACGCAATCATCTTATATATCTCCTCCCAAATGGTAATTACCAACACAAATGCTGCGCCTGGTCTCTTTCTTCGTCCCTTTCACGTTCTGAGACCCGCCTGCGGCAATGACATGACGAAGCCCCCAGCGCGGCTCCAGCGTGGCTTGCCAGGGGACCGCAGCTGGGGCCCTCTCTCTATGTGGCTGGTGACCCCTTCGCCCTGTGGCGTGAACTTTCTGCCAACATTGAAGTCTAGTCGCAATTGAACCCGCACAACACCACATCTGCATGGTTCGATAAAAGTTGCGAGCCAAGCCATCAAACCACCCTCGCACGGGGTCCAAACCTTCAACACACGGTACGGAGTACATGCTGCGCATATACGCCACGCCAACCTCTCCTCCGCAGCTATAACCCCGAGCTTCCTGCTCGCTCCTCCCTCCTCTCCTCCCACATCGCCCTCATCACCACCGTCACCATGCCGACAGCCACGCAAATCGTCGAGGCGCTCCTCACGCCGTCCATCCCCGTCATCCTCCTCGGGTTCCTCATCATGGTCGGCGGCCCGATCCTGCTGCACTTCATCCTCGCCTCATCCGCCACATACACCATCGCCCCGACCGTCCTCCTCGTCGGGCCCGAAAACGCCGGCAAGACGTCCCTCCTCACCCTCCTCGAGCGCGGCACCAAGCCCGCCGACACGCACACCACGCAGCGCACGCAGTCCGTCGAACTAAACGCCACCACCGACGCCAAGACCAAGGGCTCCTTCAGGAACCACGACGACTCGTCGGGCACGTATACCAAGTTCCTGCTCATCGACACCCCGGGCCACGGCAAGCTCCGCAACGTAGCCATGGCCAAGCTGGCCGACGCCGAGAAGTTAAAGGCCGTAGTGTTCATGGTCGACGCCGCAGCGCTGGGCGAGCAGGAGACTCTTGCCCCTACTGCTGCGTACCTATACGACGTGCTGCTGTATCTGCAGCGCAAGGCGGGCGACACGGGGAAGAACAAGGCCGCGATCCCGGTTTTGATTGCTGCCAACAAGATGGACTTGTTCACGGCGCTACCGGCCAACCTGGTCAAGAGTCAGCTGGAGAATGAACTGACGCGAATTCGGGCCTCGAAGAGCAAGGGACTCTTGGATTCGGGAGTTGGTGTCGACGAGATTGGGTCAGAGGAGCAGGATTCTTGGCTGGGAGAGTATGGCTCGGAAAAGTTTTCGTTTCAGCAGATGGGCGAGTTTGATATTGACGTCGAGGTTGTCCCTGGGAGTGTTACTACGAAGGAGGCAGATGTTGACAAGTGGTGGTGGTGGATGGCGCAGCGCGTATGAATATTTTCTACCTGACCAAACTATTGACGCGGGCAAAGGCATACTTCACTATACTACTATTAATCTCAAACATTACCTCGTTCATCCAAAGCCACGAGGCACACCATCACATCCGTGTTTGTAACCAAATGCATTTATATAAAGTGTCTAAATCATCTGTGTAGATGTTGAGTCTACCACCCATACCCAGTTGATCATCCAACCAAATCCTCATTTCATGCATACAGTCGCAAATAAAACGCTCGATCATGCCATCATATGAAAATCCAAAAAAAAAAGAAAAAAAGAAAAAAAATTAATGCCCGCATCTTATTTCTCGTTGACCATCCAAGTCAGCAAATCAACCTTTGTAACAACACCAATAGGCTTGGACAATGATCCCTTCTCGTCACTGCGTGCTGTCACAACTGCCGCGCTGTTCCACTCAAAGAACTTGCTGAGGGTAGATAGTGGCGTATCCAGGGTGATTTCGACAAACTTTCGCTTGGGGCCAGTGGTCTTGGCTATGGAAGCGCTCCGTCGGGGATCGGTGACGATCTCATCGAGACGACTAAAGTTGAACATGACGTCCTTGACGGGGCTCTGGGGCGTGGCACGGCCACGAGAGATGTATGACAGCAGGTTGCCGAGGGTGACAAGACCAACAAGCTTGGAGGTGGCAGACAGCACTGGAAGCTGATCGAAGCCCTTGTCACGCATAGTCTCAATGGCTTCGGAGCATGGAGCAGTATCGACGACAGAGGTGACAGGCTTCAGTCGGAGAGAAGCAATGGTAGCACCGGCGTAGGGATCGGAAGTATCGCCGCCAGTGGCCTTTTTGGCGAGGGACGTTTCAGCGCTGCCGGTGGACAGGAGACCGTTGGCGGCGAGCCAGTCGTCGTCAGCAAACTTGGACAAGTAGCTGCGGATGCTATCGGGCAACACGACAACCACAACATCACCCTTCTTGAAGCCATAGTCCTTGACGGCCCTGAGCATGGCAGCCATGGCCGATCCAGAAGAACCGCCGACAAGAAGACCTTCTTCGGCAATCAAGCGTCTCGCAAGCACAAACGACTCCTCGTCGTCCGTCTTGTACCACTTATCAACAATCTCACGGTCCAACACATCAGGGACGAAGTCGTATCCGATACCCTCCACTTTGTACGGCTTATTAATATGCTCCTGGTTTAGAGATTCCGGCAGAGCAAGAATACTACCATGAGGATCGGCAGCAATAACCTTGACGTCCTTGCTGTGCTTCTTCAAGCCGCGGGCAATACCTGTAATGGTGCCGCCAGTACCAGCACCAGCAACAACAGCAGTAATCTTGCCACCCGTCTGTTCCCATATCTCCTCGGCGGTACCGTGCTCGTGGGCAAGCGGGTTATCGGCATTACCGTACTGGTCGAGAATATGGGCGTTGGGAATTTCCTTTTGAAGACGGCGTGCGACTCCAATGTGCGATTCGGGAGCGTCCCAGGCGGCCTGGGTGGGAGTACGGATGATGGTTGCGCCGAGGGCTCGAAGCACAGAAACCTTTTCGGCCGACATTTTCTCGGGCATGGTGATGATGGTTTTGTAGCCTTTGATGGCACCAACGAGGGCCAGACCAATGCCGCTGTGGCGACATGTTAGTCTCATTCACAACATATTGTGGGAAACAGGGGCGAGAAAGAAGCACATACGTGTTACCGCTGGTGGGCTCAATCAAAGTATCGCCCGGCTTTATCCTGCCACTCTTCTCGGCCTCCTCCACCATTCGCAAGGCAATTCTGTCCTTGACACTACCGCCGGCATTGAACAGCTCCGTCTTTGCGTAGACGTCGCATTCGACGCCGAGCGACTGCGGCACCTTGTTGAGTCGGACTAGGGGAGTGTTGCCGATCAGCTCGGTGGCGGAGAGGACAGTGGCAGGCTTGCGCCCAACATGAGGCACTCCGCTAGCCATGGCGAAGAATGATGAATGCAGTTCTGGAGAAGGAATAGAAGGGTTATTGTGACGGAGAGGAGGAGGAGGGGAAAGAGTAGAGAAGAGGTATCCACCTGGATTCTGGAAGAGATGCAAAGAAAGGGCGGACGCAGGTGGCGTGGCACAAATAACCAAGAAGTGGCATGCATTTAACTTCGACGACCTTTTTTTTCTCTTGCGGCTGCCCCGCGGCGGGGCCCTAGGCCGAAACGGGTAGATGGCCGATAGCCGATGATGGTTGGTGCCGAAGGTATCCGCTGGCCGCACCACAGGTAACGGGCGGCATAAAAACGTATGCAGAGTACATAAAATGCATGCTGTACCAATGCGCAACTCTACGGCAGATCAGTTTGATGAGACCTTTGCCTTGGATGCTGAAGTCCCTACGGTCTGGCACATGGACCTGCACTACTGCAATCGGATAATTAGCCCACATTCGCGGTCCAGCAACATCGCGATTCAAGTTTGAGCTGCAGTGACTGCTTCCACGTCTTTACCATCCCCATGCAAAAACGAATAGTGTTTGTTTGGTCATAACTTGATTCCAGAAATTGAACCCAGACATTGAACAGGGGAGAGTGACATCGGTTGCCCTGTGCGAATTTGAAAGGTCCTGTGGTTACGTGACTCAGCACTACTGTTGGTGGGAGTCATACTTCCCTTCCCCAAGTCCACCGGCTTCACTCCACATCAAGGCTCCTTTGAACTCTCTCGAGAGCTCTTCCGACCATTTCGCTCCAAACTGACTTGTTCTCTGTAAAAGACTACGACGAAATGGCAGGCCAGACTCCAAAACACGCCACCGAAGCTCTGGCTCAGCTTCAGCTTGATGAAGAAACAGGCGAAATGGTGTCTAAACGGGAACTGAAGAAACGACAACAAAAACGGGCAAGGAAGGCCGCAACTGCCACCACGCGAGCTGAGAAAGAAAATACTACACTGAAACAAAAACTTCCACCGGAAGAGAAGACGGATGACACACAAATCGATCCCGATGCCATGTTCAAGCGGGGCTTTCTCGCAGATGTGTACAACGAATTCCCAGCCAAGCACGTTGTCACACGTTTTCCGCCCGAACCAAACGGATTTCTGCATCTCGGCCATGCGAAAGCCATCGCACTTGACTTTGGCTTCGCCCGATATCACGGCGGTAAAACGGTGAGTCATGCAGCCTCAGATGAACATCTCACGGTCCAGAGCTAACCTAGAACCCAAGATTCTTAGGCAAGACACTTACATAGCTGCATAACCAAGGACTGTAACTAATTCTTTTCCATTCAAGGTTCGACGATACAAATCCAGACGCTGAGGAGAAAGGGTTTGTTGATGCTATCAAAGAGACAATACGTTGGCTGGGTTATACTCCACATGCCATCACATACTCGAGCGACAACTTTCAAAAGCTTTACGACTATGCAGAACAACTAATAGAGTTTGGAAAGGCGTACGTTTGCCACTGCAACGACTCTGAGATAAAGCGGCAACGGGGTGGACATGAAGGCAAAGAAGGACCGAGGTACAGATGTGACCACTCCGAACAAGATGCGTCGACAAACTTGGCCAAGTTCCGCATGATGCGCGACGGCAAATATGAGCCCCAATCCGCCTTTCTACGCATGAAGCAAGACATTTCAAATCCAAATCCACAGATGTGGGATCTCGCAGCATACCGCATCCCAAAGGACCAAACTCCGCACCATAGAACTGGGAATGAATGGAACATCTACCCAACCTATGACTTTGCACACTGTTTATGTGACAGCTTGGAAGGGGTGACTCACAGCCTCTGCACATCGGAATTTGTATTGTCACGGGAGAGCTATGAATGGCTTAACAAGAGCCTCAAAGTTTATGAACCCATGCAAAGGGAATTTGGTATGCAATGCCGCCGTTTATTGCTCCTAGGTTTCAAATTGACATAACGTAGGCCGACTCAATTTAAACGGTACCATCATGAGCAAGCGGGGGTTGTCGGCGCTTGTCGAAGACAAAATCGTCCGAGGCTGGGATGATCCTCGTCTCTACACTCTGGTCGCCCTGCGCCGACGTGGTATTCCACCTGGTGCGATTCTATCCTTCATCAATGAACTTGGAGTCACAACTTCGAGAAGTTTCATCGAAGTGAACCGTTTCGAGCAATCCGTTCGAAAGTATCTGGAAACAACGGTGCCTCGTCTGATGCTTGTCCTGGATCCCGTGGCTATGGTGATCGAGGACCTAATTGATCCTGGAATCTCTGAACGCCACATTCCATCTCCCACGACGGGGATGAATGGCTACACCCAGCGTCTGACACAATCAATCTATATAGAGCGGTCCGATTTCCGAGAGGCTGACAGTAAGGGCTACTTCCGTCTAGCACCTGGGAAGACAGTCGGGCTCATCCAATCGCCATATCCAGTGAAGGTCGTAGGCTTTTCCAAGAGCCCGACCACAGGCATGGTCACAGAGATCCGAGCTGTACTCGACAAGGACTGCAAAAAACCCAAGGCGTATATCCACTGGGTGCCGGAAGGATCCAGAGTTGTAGAAGTGCGTGTGCACTCTCCCCTCTTCAAGTCGGATAATCCGATACAAGCCGAAGGCGGGTTTAGGAACGATATACGTCCTGATAGCGAGACGATTTGTCATGATGCTTTGATTTCGAGCGGGTTCGAGGAGGTGCGCAAGACCGCTCCCTGGCCCAAGGTTGCTGACAACAATGAGGGAAATGCTCCGGAAAGCGTCAGGTTTCAGGCTATGCGCAGTGGTTATTTTGTAGGTTTGTAGGTCTACACTCCTCATTCGTCATGAAAATCTGCGTGTCTTTGAAGGTATCATGCATTTCATTCAGTTCGTTTCTAACAGTGCTTGCTATGCTCAGACCGTCGACCCTGATACCACTGATGATCATGTGGTTCTTAACCGCATTGTTTCGCTTAAAGAAGACAGCGGCAAGAATTGAGCAGGGGAGAGTAAAGGCAAACAAGAATAAGCTTATACATTTGAGCATAGTTTGATCCTTTACTTATTACTAGCCACTTTGGGATCCGTTTCGTCTAAACGGTGATGGGACTTCTTTTTTTCCTTTTGGCGCTCATCTACGTTTTTTGGGAAATATCCAGTATAGACCCATTTTTAAGTGTAATCAACTGAGCTTTTCGTCTCATCACCAACACTTCAGCTGGCCAGGCATGCACCATTGTATTGTAGTAGCCTTGTTTAAAATAGGGAATGTCTGGTAAAAAATGGCCTGGTAAGTTGGGAACTGGGCAAATCAGCAGCTTGGTTCGCAAAAAGGGTCTAGCTGATTATCTTCACACCTTTATTTTCCATAGTCCCGGGGCGGTGAAGTCGTTTAACGTTCGAGTCTTACTTGTACTGAAAGTAATTGAGAGCACGATGCAAGTGAAAGCCAAATAATGGAAGCTGGTGAAGTCGGTTCGCAATGATGGAATCTGTGGGCTTCAAGATTGAGCAAAGAGCTTCAGCAACTGTCACGAATGGGTATTAGGTCTGATTCTGGAGCAATAGAGCCACAAGATCAATCAATGGCGGCTCTTGGCCGACTGTCCCAATATGTAGCATGTGAATGTGCGCCGTTGGCTCTTAACAATAACTCAGTCCGATAATATCTAACAGAAACCTCTTCGTTTCCTATATTTAAAATTTCTTTCAGAATCTTCTCCATAGTTCGTTTAATTTACTTGACTTACGTTTCAAGTTTCTTGAAGTGTTAGTTTCTCGCCTTCACGTCTAAGAGCAATGTAGCTCACATTTCGTTCAGTTCTGATTCACTCAAGGAGATCTTGTCCATGTCTCCACATTTGTTAGCCAGGAAAATTCGCATCACAATAAACAAACGACGACAAAAGAACAAGGGGAGGCAAACGCACCTACGTATCCATGTATTTGGTTGAAACATATACCCAGCTATCTCTCTCTGTATTCTAACATTCTATAATACATTAGCGCTTACTTGGTGCAAAAAAAAATATACCTTGCAGTACATGCTAGGTGGCATAATTTCAGTTTCCACCGAGTTCTGCTAGGACTTCCTTTCTTTCTTCATCCCCATCCCTCTTGCAGAAAGTTGCTGCAATCAGTAGCGTTCTTTCTCGTCGCTGGCGCTCTTTTTCTTTCAAATCAACAACCGTCTGTTATTTACTCTTGGGAGTCCTATATTTTGCACAGCTTATCTGCGGCACTGTACCTGATATCCTAGAATACCTTCGTGTTCGAAACATTTGCCATCCCACGTTCAGAACGAGCGGCTTGGCATTCTCTGGCATCGAACTATGAAGCGGCTCGTCAAAGGAGATTGCGCGATACTAATTGGCGGTATCGAAGGCTCCATTTTCGCAGGAAAGGAACTCGGAATCTCAGATATCAGCGGCCATTTAATCGCTAAAAACACACTTGATAAATCCGCTTAGTTGGCTTTTGATATCCATTTTCCATTCGGTGAAGATCATGAAGAAAGTGGATTTGGAATGTGTTATACCTGTGAGTGTCCTTCATAATACTTTCCTCTTATTTGGCCGAGACTAAGTATATATCATGTACAGGGTCCGATTCGCAAGGAAAACGGTGCCAGCTAAAACGGATGCCATCACGATAAAGTTTCCTCGAAATAATGTCGTTCGTGTCATACGACCTGCAGATGCTTTAATCCGGAGCCGTTTTCCAGATGGGAAGCGACGACTTTCCCTTGTTAACATCCTCTTGAAGGATAAAGCTCAAGTTATCGTTGAAGGTTATGGCATGCCTTACGCCAACCAAGGACATATTGCCGAAAAGTGGCTGCATGAGAATATGCCCATTATCCATGACGTAACTATGATGGGACTGCTGGAGCAAAGGAGCTACGCCTTTGTCGTTTCGTTGGAGCACGATAAACTCAGTGAAGACTGGAACTTTGACCGCCTTCCAGCGCCTTTCAGCTACCCATATAGCACGAATCATACTTGGAATTCACAGAGTGAATACTCCGCAATGCTGAGGAATAATAAAGGTCATCAGTTCTTCCCTCGCACATCCTTCGACAACATCAACGAGTTGCTCGCGGTTCTGTCGCAATCGCAGGTCCAAGACGTTATGTGGGTGGAAGCAGAGGCACAAAAGATGCGCAATACATAACTCTCAGCCTACTTCACTCCCACAACTGGTGAAGAGGAAGAGAAGACCGAGGTATATTACGAAATACTTGCCCTTCCTCCAGAGTACCGAACCACTTTCGAGAGCGCCTGGCGTCGCCTCGCCAAGGAAGGGACACTTAAGATTTTACTTCACAGCTCCTGTCAAGACTCGGCCGGCTATTGGAATGCTTTTATCGTAGATACACCATCCGCCAAATATGACTTAGAGGAGCATCTAACCGAAGACCATGAGTTGGTCCTGACTCCTATGCGTTCGACGGCCCCATATAAATACAGGATAAATGGCCCAGACTTCAAGGTCTGCGGGTTTAAAGGTCGTTCCACTGCTAATAACGCCTTAAATATATCTAAGGGTAATGGAATTGTATTTCTCTAGATTTTTACACGAACCTCTGGGACTTTAAGCGGAAAATCAACGAAGGGCCTCATCTCTTAAGGCGTTTTACAGAGCCATTTAACCTCGCTATCTTAGGTCTGACAAGAAATATGCGCGAAACAGATCCGGCAGCATTTCAAGCAATCGTTAACCACGGTAAACGCCGTATGCGTTATCAGATGGATTTAGTCCTGGATACTGGCTTCTATAATACCTGGGAAGTTAAGCCCGCGTTAGCAGGCGGTAAAGGCGATCGATTTGCAGTCACATGACAGTTGGACACGTGCCCCTCTAAGCCAATCACAGTTGAACAGCGATGGCGTCCTTTTCCGCACTTCATTCAGATGGGACAGACTTTCCACTCTCCTTTGCAATTAACACCTTCGCGGCAATGCTGTTAAGACTGTATCGCTTTATATTGACAAAATGCAAATTACTAGCCCAGCGGTTCTTCATTCTTTGGGGGGCCATTCTTCAGCCTAACGCCCGCTTCCCCTTGTCACCCGACGAGATCGACGACCAATGTCAGGAATTCATTGACTCGATCGATGAAGATGCAGTCTGTGCACTGGCTTCTCGCTATAACAACCAAAAGCCATGCCGTATCGCCTCCCGTCCTGCCAGCGGTAGTTTTAACGCTTGTTTTTTCGTTGAATTTTTCACAGAGAACAAAACGTGGGTCGTGAGGATTCCCATTGAGCCAGCTATAAAGGATACATGGTCCAAGGTTCAGAGCGAGGTGGCTACAATGCAGTAAGCTGAAATGAAGTGCTAGTTTCCTGTCTTGCACGCCGCTGACGAATATTCATAGATACGTACAACGTCACACAAGCATCCCCATTCCTCGCATCTATGCACATGGGCGAAATGCCAAACTAATCAAGAACAGCGCCGTAACGCAAGCATTCCTGATTCTTGAATATATTCCCGGCCGCTCTCTCGAGATTCAAGATCTCATCGATAGCGCTGAAATGCGCCGGAAGAGCTTCTACGCAGAACTCATCAAAGTCCTTAGCGAATTGCGAAAGTTAGAGTTCCCAATAGCAGGGTCATTAATGCCAGATCCAAAAGGCGGCCCAGAACCTGTTGTTAGCAATACGCTGTCTATGGCTTTAAATGAGCTGGAGGTTAGCAGCCCAAGTCAGGTAGTCCGATCAAACTTTACATCGACGACCCATTTTGTCCATCACCAGTTCGACATATTGATGGAAACATATCGGTTGCCAGCAGTGTCATTGTCCCGTGAGACTGCAGAGCTTGAAACCTTCGCATTGGATAGTCTCGGACAACATATTCACCAATTTTTTGGTGACAAACACAATGATAGCCCGTACCTTCTTGCCCATGCAGATCTACGATGCTCTAACATTATCATTGACGATGAGCTTCACATCCAAGCCGTCATCGACTGGGACTGGGCAAATGTCGTCCCTAGAAAGCTATTCACACTACCGCCATGGATCACTGGTCATGACCTTGATGCGATAGCATACGTTCCGCATCGCATGATCATGACAGACTTTTCCGATGTTCTGCGAGCGAAGCAGAAGGATTCCGGTTATTGCAGAGAGGCTCTGGAAGAGCTAAATATTCAAGAGAATTTGGCACTTCCCTTGGCACAAATCTTGCGACATCCATCATGTCTTATTCGCGTCTATTACAAGTTCATATTTCCCAAACTTTTTAGGGACTCTCGCAGCGCAATAATTTCGAGCTATTTTCAACGCAACAAGACGAAAGCGATGAGCGTGCGGCAGCGGCTGTATGAGTCCGTGCAATACACCAAGTACCTACGGGAGAAGGGCGTGCTGCGTCCTGATAAGAACATCACCTCGACAACAAATGATATTGAAGCTTGGCTTGCTAAGGCGCGCGCTATCAAGCAGCAATAGGAATTCAGCCCAGCTACTAGTTGAGCCGAGTTTCCAACCCTTCAATATCAGAATAGCTGTAGCCACCGCTTTACCCGGGACGAGCCAGACAACCACATCATAATGGTCTGGATAGCCGTGATATTGCATCATACCTCGGTGATCATTGTCACAGGCAAGTATTCTCAACTTCCCAGAATTGCAGCCAGCATGGCTCCATACAAATTCGCTGGTACGCATATGAATGTCCAGGGTAAAGAACGTGACAACGCGTTTGTACAGGCTGGCTGCACGCTCGCTAAGCCTCCCAGCGCGAAACCTACTCTCGCTCACGTCCGTAAGCTGACTAGGAAATACCTTTAAAGATAAGCCTCAGGCATGGTGGCAGGATCACGGTGGATCAGCCCCCTTGTTTAAGACGAAAACTGGGGATTGATGAGGTCTTCATGAAAACTGACGTCCCTCTGATAGTGAAATCATGTCGCATCACTGACCGCTATTACATGCTTGCAAACTGGGTTAGGTCGAGTTAACTAGCTCCATGTCTCGGTCTATTAGCCCCGTCTCCGAAATGCTAGCCATCTCATGCAGGTCTCAGAACGTGGCTCGCTCGCGATGATGATTGGTCGATGTCACTGCAACCTGGGGAGTCAATTAGGCTGCATTGGACAGTGAGCTCACACCCTTATCAGAGTTTTTTTCACCTCCCCCAAGCCAAAGCTCAGCTTCTTTCACCGACGATGTCCATACGTTTACTACAGCAGCTTATCTCCAATGGCAATAAGATTAAAGAGGACGTCTGGTGCTACAGTAGCCCAAATCTTACCATGATAAAATACTCAAAATTACCGCTAAGCTCAAGACACAGCTTAAAGTTTAAAACTGTCACACGGATTAGGTCAAGCGAGGATCAGAAGCCCTTTGTTCACAATAGGATCCCGAGAACTATGGGGCGCACTAGGCACGGGCCGTTCCTTTTATAAGATGGCCCCCCCCTTCCCCTCACGGCTTGGGGAAACTAAGGACCTTTGACATCCTACAAGATTATCATTAAATTGAGCCATTTTGCTTTAAGCCCTCTATTAAGCCCTTGTCACAAAAAACGTCCTGTGGTTAACAGCCAATTATTATAATAATACCCAAGCAATAAACCACTCTCGAATCAATAAGCTATAGGGGTGAAACATTTTATTAACTTTATATTTGGGCCGCTATCACGGGCTAAAAATAAGTAAATGTAACTGCGAAGTTTGGATTGCACGTCGCTTAAACCTTGCGGACTATTATACACAGTTCAAGAGATATCCGAAATTGACCCGGAAGGATGTAATGTTCTCATTGCCAAGCGTCCAAGCTTCGCAAAGATTCATAGCCTTGACTACCTTCTGTGTCGAGACGACATCAACAGGGTTGTTCATAGCAATTTTGCACCTGATGACGATGATAAATTTAAGGCATTTCTTCTTTGTAAGTAACCAACTCCCCGCGTGAGCACACGCAGTTAAAAGAATAGCACATATCAATTTTAGACTTGCTTATTGCAAAGGTTTTGAAAATCACAGCGGCAGTTCTATGGCTACGATATCCCATTTCCCACAATGCGGTAGCGGCTACATGGAGGAGCCTCAGTTGATATATCCCCAACCTGACTCCGACAGCAGCCAGCCTAGAAAGCGACAACGGGTCGAACAGAGTGGAAAGGAGACAAGGGACGGGCCAAGCAGGATGACGTATGCATCCCCGTTACAGCGGCAGATATATCCTATCTACAGAAATCCAATATGTGTATTCAAACGCTCCATTCAGCCATGTTTCCCTATTGGACGCCCGGCTGTCTCAGGCCGTCCAAGGAAGCCGTTAGTTGCAGCTGGAAAGGCAATTAGGAGACCCGACAACGAATTATATAAATACATTGGTCCCCAAAGACCCGACCCAAGACATATCCGTCACTCTGTGGGTCGGGCAAGGAGAAGGTCTTTAGATGAACAGCGCTTTTAATCTCGAATTCAAGTGGATATCGTCACCTGTTACACGGATTAGGTTAAGCAAGGATTAAAAGCCCTTTATTACATAAAGAGATTACGAGAACTATAAGGCATATTAGGCACGGGCCGTTCCTTTCATATATATAAGATAATCTTCTCTTACCTTTTAGCTTAAAGAAACTAAGAACCTTTAATATTCTATAAGATTATTATTAAATTAAGCTCTTTTACTTTAAGCTCTTTATTAAGCTCTTATTATAAATAATCTTATACCCTTAAAGATAAGCCTTTTATTTATAATTACTTAACCTACTTTATAATATCTCTTAACCTTTTACTATTAATTTCTCTCTTATAAGTAAGGCCTTAAAGAAAGCCTTATAAAAATTATTATTAAAAGAATTATTATTATTCTTATTTTTAAAACGCTTCAATATAATAAAAGCTTTATAACTTTAAGTTAAGAGATTATTACTTTATATCTCTTAAATTTACTTAATTATTATTATTAAAGGTACTTAACTCACTTATATTATTCTTCTCTTAAAATAAAGAAAAATACCTTACTTTAAAACCTTAAGCTAAGCTTTACCTTAAAGTTATAATATTTATTAATTTAAGTTAAATAATTATTTATAACCCTTTTAGCTTTAAGGTAATTATAAGAGAAGCCTTTAACTTAACCTAAAATATTAAACTAATTAATTAATCTATAATAATATATAATAATATTATTAGCTTAAACGTTTAATTAACTTAAGCTTATAAAGCTTTACGCTTATAAGCCTAATACGTTAAAGCTTTTAACTATTATAATCTCTTAATTATTTAACGCTATTACTAAGAGGTTTACGGTAGATATTAAGAGGTTATTACCCTTATAAGGTAAGGTATTATAGCGGGAAGAGATAAATTTACTTAGTTTTAATATGCTATAAGGAATACTACTAATTTACTAGTAATATATACGGTTAAATTACTAAGTATATATAAAATAATACTAATAAAAAAACTATAATTATTAGGATATAAGAAGTGTAAGCTTAGAATTTAATAGGAGTTTAGATACTTTATTAAGAATTAGTAAGAACTTAATATAATATTAAAGGTTAAGCTATAAATAAAGACTAAGTTATTACTAACCTTTTAGCTTAATAATACGTTAACTCTTAAGACCTTAACGTTTATATTTAAGTATAACTTTAAGATATTTATATTTTAGCTAAATTTATTATTAAAAATACTCTTAAAAAGTTTAAGATAGGTTAATCTATTAATATTAAAAGAACGCTAGGTAAAATTAAGCGAAAAGCGGCCTTAAACCGCCTAATTTAATCGCTTATTACTATTATTTTATAAAGTATTAAAAGAAGTGCTTTTATCTCGCCTTATTATAATAAGAATATGCTTTATATAATATATATAAGAAATTTACGGGATAATTAACGTTACTTTTATTTCTTAAGACCTTTAATTTATAGGGCTCCTTTAAACCCTAGCTATTTAAGCGACTCGTTTAGTAGTAAAGATAATCGTTAAAATAGAAGGCTTAATAGACCCCCTTTAAGTCCTTTAAGGCCCTTAAACTTAAGCTTTAAACCCTTTAATTAACTTAAATAAATAAACTCTTTAGCTTATCTTATTAATTAAACTTATATTATAAAGGGAGATAACTTATTAAAGATCTTTAAGCTAGCTCTCTTTAACGAAAGATCCCTTATAAAGTTTCGCTTTTAATAGATTAATATTATTATATATATTAACTCTTATACGCGTAACCTACTCTTTAATTAACTTAAAATTAATTAAGTAAAATTATTATTAGCTAATAAAGTAAAGACCTAGTATTAATAAAAAGCCTAATAATTATAAAGTCTATTACTTAAAG